GTCCTCTCTGCAGAGGGATTCACAGGAGCACACGGGCTCTCGGGAGGCTCTCCCACCCGCACAGGAGAGCTGCTGCCCCCAGCGCCCAGTACCTACCGACCACAGTGGGCTCCAGGTCCACGAACACCGCCCTGGGCACATGCTTGCCAGCCCCGGTCTCGCTGAAGAACGTGTTGAAGGAGTCGTCCCCACCGCCGATGGTCTTGTCACTTGGCATCTGGCCGTCGGGCTGAATGCCATGTTCAAGGCAGTACAGCTCCCAGCAGGCGTTGCCGATCTGCACGCCCGCCTGCCCCACGTGGATAGAGATGCACTCACGCTGGGAAGCAGAACATGTACATGAGGCCCCCTTCTCCCTGGCAGTTGTCACCATGGGGCGTGACAACATAATCGTTTTGATCTGTGCCTCAGGCTGTCCTTGGTGTTGGCAAACCATATTTCCCAGGAGCCTTAAGTGACTCCTTGTCCCTGTGAAACTCCTTGTTCTAAAGCTCTCTGGCTGATAATGGGGGCCACAGTTAGCTCCAAACCTAAGTGTTCGCTACTGTGCAAAAATTAGGTTATTTTAAAATTTGGAAGCCATGTAATGTCAATGGTAAACTCCACGTCACAGCTAGTTGGAGTAATTCTCTGCAGAATACAGCAGCTTTTGATTGTGAGCTGACTACAGGGTGCGGTAAGAGGTAGGAGAGTCGGGAAAAGGAGAGTGGCCTGGGACGGGGGACCATGGCCCACGCAGGGTGGTCACGGTGTGTGAGCTCCATCTCCAGCTGTAGGTCTGTCCTCTGTTCTCTGTCCAGCTCCGTGCTCTGAGAGACTGATCCAAGTGGACTTGCCTCCTGGCTTCTGGTTGCTTCAGCCTGCACCAGGCAGCAGCAAGAGTCAGGGAGTTTAGAGGAAGGTGTGGTCGGGGCGCTGCTCCCTGTGCCCTCTCTGCCAGACTGCCGTGGCTGCTTGAGTCCATTTACTCGGGCACAGACCTTTCATCAGTCAGGGTCTTGATAAAGCTACTCTTTCAACTTCTTGTAACTGCTCCCTCCCTCCTGCTTTCAAGCCTAGGAGTTAATGTTTCCCAGACACCGTAAGTACTGGGCTACTGAACTGTCCTTTGGTGGTTTTCTTAAACCCCACTGTACCTTCTACTTTTATCAGTAGTATCTTAAAGATTCTCCTCCAAGCATGTGTTTCGAATGTACCATCTTTTTCCTGCCAGGAACGTAACTCCACAGTCACTAGTCACTTGTTTGATTTTAGACACATAATCATTACAAATACATAGAGGAGATAAGTGATATCCCAGGTGTCCCACCCACCCTAAACTCTAACGTACAATCCTGAGAACTTGAAGTCTAGTTTTCTGTTACGCAAGCACCAACTCTCAGGGCATCAGAGCTCAGTCACCACACGTCATCCCAGAAAGAAGCCTCCAGTTCTAGCAGGACCTCCAGTGACAAGCATTTGGTCCTCAGCACTCTGGGAAGTCCTCTGGAATCCCCCCATCTGCACCGTTTTCAGGTCCTACTGCTCGTTTTGCCTCATGTGATCCAGATCTCCTGTTTTTCACCAGACCCCCTGCCTGACATTACTTGCTTAGGCCAGGTAGGATGAGAGCAAGTTCTGTGACCCAAGGAAATACCGCAGTTTCTTCGTTTACAAAATGGGGCTGGGAGTTGGTCTGTCAGGGCCACTTCCACCTGATGTTCTGTGGGATGGAACTGGTTGAAGACCTTGGCAAGGCCACTCACAGGTGTCTTCACGAAGCCAGGAGCCCGCTGCGACCTCGTCCGGGTCCTTGACGTGCACATTCCTTCGCCAGCTCTACCTCTCTCTGCAGGAACTACCTGAACCTTTCTCTGGACCCTACACCTGCCCTCTCGGCGCCCCGACCCCCCGCCTCTCCTACCGGTGCCCGGGGGCCCGGCCTCCCCGCGGTCCACGCATGGGGAGAAAGGGGGGAAAGGACAGCGTCATTCGGCACCAGCCCGCCTCCCGCCTCAAGCCCGGGGCCCACGTGCGGGACCCTCGCACTCCCTGGCGGAGCGGTGTGATGGGCCACCGGCTGACGTTCGTTATACCCGGCTCCTCTCCCCTCTCTGCCGAACCTGCGCGATCAGACGGGCGCCCACGGCAAGAGGGTTCCCTCGCCCGGACCCCAGCCCCCTGGCCCTCTGGTTCCCCGTCCGCCGGCCGTACCATGGTGAGCTCAGTCGCCGCCGCAGCTCCAACCTCAACCGCTGCTAACGCCTAACTGCCGCCGCCGCCGCCGGCTCGCCACGCGCTCCGCCCATCCGCCCACCCGCCCGTCGCCAGCGACCATTGGTCCCGGATGCCGTGGGGTGGGCCGAGGCCCAGAACCTCACTCCCGATTGGCCGACCCGCGACCCGCGGAGAGTGGCGCATTCTGATTGGATGTGGGCTTGGCGGGAAGGCTGCGAGGTCGTGGGTCGCGCAGAGTGGAGTGCAGCCGGGAGCTCCCGCGCAACCCCTGCCCTCAGGTCAGCGCGGCGGCAGGGCACTTACCACCTAGTGCTGCTGGCCCGGGACCCCGCTCCCTATAGGGTCTTCGCCAGCTCGGCCGCCTGGTTTACACCAACCGCTGCAGGGAGCTGGGTAGGGCGGAGCCCCAGCCCCATCCCAGGGCTGGGCCGCGCAGCGCCCACTGTGGAGGGCGGACCATCCCGTGAGGATGGCTGGGCTGGCTTTCCTTGGGTTCTGGGGGCGCGGGGAGGGGGTGCAGCAGCGGAAAGGGCTCTTCGAGGCTGGGACCCTGGTCTCTGAAGGTGACCGTCCCCTTGGAGGGTTGGCCCCTACCGGGTTCACTCGGCTGACCGAGTCTGCGCTTCCGTGAGCGCTAATCCTGTGGGGCCGGGGCCCCACCTTCAGGGCCTCTGCGACCCTGATTACATCCTGGCTTCCCGTGCGGTCACTGCGGCTGGGCCTCGTCGGAGAAGCACGATTCAGTCTGCAGCGCCCCCGTCCCTGCCAGGGCTGCGACCACCCCATGCCACCTGTTCCACCGTGTTCTTAAATACTGTATATCTTTCCGAGTATAAAAGCGACACATACTTAGAATAGGAAGTGTGAAAAATATAAAGGAATGAAAGTAAAAATCCATAAACCCACCTCCTAGAGATGGTCATTGTTAATATGTGTGTGGGGAGGGTGATCTTTTTTATTTTTTCCTAGTGTATACATTCATACATTTTTAAACACATGTTGAGCCAAACAATATGATTTTTTGATAACAGTTTTCTTGAGATATAATTCACGTATACATCACCCATTTAAAGTGGTGTACAATCCAGTGATTTTTTCCCCTATATTCACAGAGTTGTGCAACCACCACAACAGTCCATTTTAGAACATTTTTATCCACCAAAGAAACCCACAGCCTTTAGCTGTCAATCTCCAGCCCCTCCCATCTCCCAGCTGGAGGCAGTCTTTCACGGACACTTTGTCTCTGTATTTGCCAATTCTGAACATCTCGTGAACAGAATCGTACAGTATGTGGTCCTTTATGACTGGCTTCATTCACTGCTCACAGTGTTTCCAAGGTTCATTCCTGTGGTAGCACGTGTCAGAACTTCACCCCTATTTCTGTTAAACAACTTTACCATACAACTGTTTAAAGTATACAATTCAGTTACTCTTAGTATATTTGCAGAGTTGTGCAAGCATTACCATTATTGATTTTAAAACATTTCCATCACCTAATTCATTCCTTTTTATTGTCAAATACTATTCCATGGTTTGGATATACCTCATTCTATTTATCCATTCATCCCTTAGTAGGTATTTGCATTTTGTAGATAATATGAATAACGCTGCTATGGACATATGTGTACAAGTTTTTGTGTGGACACTTGATTTTGTTTCTCTAGGAGTGGACTTGCTGGATCATATGGTCAACTCCATGTTTAACCTTTTGAGGAACTGCCAGACAAATACGTAATTTTTTTATCCTGGTTTTCTCCTTTCACACCATAAATCGTGTGCATTTTTGCTAATTGCTGAATGTCCTTTGAACACTTGATCTTTAATGTTGGCAGAGTTTCAAATCTTAATCAATCCTCTGGGGCATTTGGTTATTTCCAGTTTTAATATTGTAAGCAGCATTTTCTCGTGCATCTTTGGACATCAATTTATTTTTGCATCTCTGCTGTAGAGAAGAATAATCAGAACTTTGCATCAAAGGACAGTCTGTTTTAGGGCTCTCAGTGCAGAATGACAAATTGCCTTCCATAAATAGTTGTATCAGTTTGCATTCTTTTTAGTTGACCTTGGGAGTGACAGTTGCACACCACCTTATATTTTAATTGTGTCCTGAGGTCTCCAGGGCAGGGAATTGACTGGGCATCTTTGACCCCGTGCCCGGCTCAACGTGCAGCATATAATACAAGTTTGTTTTACATGAATGAGTGAGAGCATAGGAAGGCCCGGATTAGCACAGGTGTGGAGTTACTATGCAGGCTGGCTCAGTAGGAATTCCCACCTGGTTGACATGGGTACTTGGTGCAGACTCAAGTGTTAAAAGACATCTTGAAGTTGAAGTGGCCACTGGGAGATGAGGAAACCACATTTCACAGTCATTTAGCGCTTCGGGAGACAGACAGCAGTTCTTTTTCATACTCCACTCTGCAGGCCACAGTCTTTATGCAAAGCCCTGGAAGAATTACCTTCAAGGAGCTGGCGAGGTCCTTAAATTCTCTGTTCACCTGGATATCCTGAGGAGAGATCCCATTACAAGGTGGTACATTATTACTTTCTGAGAACTGGACTATTTCATCAACACACACAAGGTCTCTTTAGGGTGGCTTCTCTCCTGTGCGTGGCAAAGTCACCACAACCTGAACTATTAAAACAGAGAAGGAGGGGGAGGGTATAGCTCAAGTGGTAGAGCACATGCTTAGCATGCACAAGGTCCTGGGTTCAATCCCCAGTACATCCTCCAAATATAAATAAACCTGATTACCTCCCTCCTCCACCAAAATAAAATAATTAATACAATAATAAATATAAAATAGTTTTTAAAAAACAGAAGGGGGAGTGTCAAGGGGGGCTGCTGGGGGCCTGTTCTAGTTCTTGATCTGGGGGCTGGTTACACAGACATATGCTGTTTGTGCAGATCCACCCTAAATCTGTGTGCGGTTTTCGGCATAAATGTTTCACAATTTAAAAAGTGAAAACAGAGTTTTGGGGAGAAGAGTCTTTTTCCCCGAGCACCAGTCTTTCCCTGCACAAGGATCTCCGTCGGATCTGTCACCTCATCCTAACTTCACAATGACCCTGGGCGGTAGATAGTAGCCCCGCTTCATGCAAAGATGCGGCTGCGTCCTGGGAAGGGCTTTCCATGAACTGGAAAGATTCTGAAGCGCCTCCCTTAAAACCAAGATAAAATCTACGCTACTCAGATTGGACTAACAATAGCAGTTAAGGAACAGGAATATAGAGCATTGCTGATAGACCAGTGTTGGGTCTCTAATTCAGAATCCAAGATCCCACATTGGTGGACTCAGGATTTGGCCCCAGGCCTCTCTATTTCCAAACACTATGGCAATTCCATGATACGAAAAGCTTCCGATAATAACCGCACATGATGTTGAATGAGCGTGTATTTTTGCTAGAAGACTTCTTGTATCATTATGTTTTTTTTTTAAAGTGGTAGAATCCAGTGCTGACCGGAATTCTCAGAGCAGAAGGAACATGGTTGAGGCAAGCTAGTCTCTGGCTTTGGAGTTGTAGAGACTAGGCAGGTAGAAGGCAACACTAAGGATGTCCGACATCAGTTGTCCCAAACCTGAAGGACTGGAACTGTGAAAATATTTCTGGAAAGGCTTTGACTCAAGCCTCGGCTGAAATAAATCAGGTAGAATGAGGCGTGATTCGTGATTAGAGTCGTCAAAGTTCGTATCTAGGGATTCTCTCCTTAATGTTTAACTGTTTAATGTTTAAGTGACTTTTTTCCATATCAAAAAGACAAAATTGAATGGAAAAGGGGTCCTAATCTCCCACCAGCCACCCAAGTGAACCTTCCAGCACTGGATATCTGCAGGCAGCACTGGCCAGGCGGGGAGGATGCCGCCTTGCACGGGCCAAACCTGCAAATCCAAACATCCGTGAACAGTGAGCATTGTGCCCTCTCAGCCAGTGAAGAACCCAAGCAGGGGTCCGAGGGGGACCACCGCGGCACCCCGCTTAGGGGTGGGAGTGTGGTTGGAGTGGCATCATGGACTACATTCAGGCCTGAGTTGAACTCGAACAAGGCCACACCAGGTATCCACGCTGGGCACTCTCTTTCTCTAATCCCCACTTTCTTCCTCTGAAATGGAGAAAAGGATACCTCCCAGGGCTGTGGGAGGATCAGAGATGAGGTTTCTGAGAAGCTCTTACAGAGAAATCCAGCAATTCTAGGGCAGAGAGGGGATTAGCCTGGACAGACTTGAGCACACCGAAGCAGCCTTCACTTCGCATGGGATTCCTGGACACCTAGGAAGCACACACAGGTGAGAAAGTCCGAGCCCAGAGAGGCAGGAGCAAATGGGAGAGGGAAGAGGGGGGCTGTTCCTCATCTCTGATGCTGTGCTGTAGAGGTGGTCCCGCGCTCGCAGCCCAGAAGGCCCCTCCCTTGGACGGATGCAGTGCCGTGGGTGAGGTTGCGAGCTGGGGAAGAGAGGAAAGGGGTGGACACTGGCTGAACCCTCACTCTGTGCCGGGAACCAGTGATCTGGACACACAAGACACACCCTATCCTTAGAGAGCTCACCATTGCAGGGAGGAGAGGAAAGGAAGTATAAAAGTGCAATATGAGAAGTGCACCAACTCTCCCTGGGAGGTAAAGGGTGGGCGGGGGCTAAAACACCTGCTCTGTGCTTTACAAGTGACGTGGGTGGAGCTGGGCATTTCAGCAAGGGGAGCTGCAGGAGCCAAGGAGGGCTGAGAAATTGCATGGTGAGGCGGGAGGATGGCGGGCAGCTGGGGCTGAAAGTGATGAGCTTCGAGGCGGCAGGGAGCGCAGGGCTGGCGGGGCCCAGAGCCCACGTGCTGGGAATGACACACTAAGCTTGGATTCATCCAGAGGGGAGCCGCCGATAGGTTTAAAGCAGGGGCACGTTTCTGGTTTAGAAAGATCACCTGTAGCAGGTGGGAAGACAGGATCAGAGAAGGGAAAGCAGCGTGTGGACAGAAAGTGAGGAGGAGCGGGCAGCCTGGGTGCTCTACAGGAGGTGAGATGAAGGAGGGAGAGCGTGGAGGGACAGGGAGGGGCAAACACAGGCCCCAGCTTCTGACTTGATGGGAAGGAGCCCCCATCTAGAGGCAGCCCTTGGAGGAGGAAGGTGTGTTCAGTTTCACCGCCCAGAATCCGAGGGCCTATTTCCATCTGGGGGACTCTTCAGCAGGTTGCTGGGGGACCCAGAGCTCAATAGAGGGGTCTGGGCTCTAGATAGGTGGGCAGGAGAGGAGTGAGCCTCAGGCTAGGGAAGGGGGTCCTGCAGGGGGCCCCTATGCTAGTTGAGGGCCAGGCAGGGCCAGATGCCCCCTGGAGCTGGTGGTACTGTCCGCTGAGCTCATGCTGCTGGCACAGGGCTCCACTCTCCCTTTTCTGTCTTCTGCTCTCAGGCTGCTCAGCTGCTTCCTCCCTACTGGCAGCCCTGGAGGAAGGGAACCCCTGCTGCACACACAGGGCCCCAGGTGGGTGTGAGCCTGGCCATCAGCACACCTGGGCCGTCTCTTCTTCCCAGCAGGGCCAGAGGAAGAGCAGGGGGATGGTGAAGGGAAGCCGAGTGGCCCTGGCCATCTTCAGCAGAGCATGGCTCCAGTGGGCTGAGCAGGAGGGATGGCCCAGAGGGTGGTGATGCCCTGGGAGGGAAGGATGGAGGGGAAGGAGTCTGAAGGAGGTCGTGGGCTAGGTCAGAGATGGGTGAGTGGATGACAAGGGGGAGAAGTAGTCACAAGAGGAAGCCAGGGACCCACTCCCCAATCTGGGCTCCAGAACCCATTCACCTGTAGCCACTGGGGTGAGGAGCCATGGTGTGGAAGGGATCTGTGGATGGGCACAGGTAGGCCTTGCACTCACCACAAGAATTCTCAACGTCTGGTTGACCCGCAGGCCCAGGCCCAGGCTCAGGGCTCCTGCTGCAGAGATGCGGTTGTTGCTGCAACAGACAGGCGTGTGCCTTGAGCCACACTGCGAGCAGCCCCGCAGATTGCTCCCACGTCCCATCACCCAGTTCCCTCCCCACCTCCTCCTCCTGCTTCTGCTTGGCCCAGACTCGTCTCCAGGGCCAGCCCCACTTCCCTCTAACTCCTTAGACCCCAGCTCAGCCCTGACTTGCAGCATCTATTGTGGCCTCCTCTGGCCGTGGCTCCTTACATGGGGAGGAAAAGTGGGCAGGACTGAGCAGATGTTCTCGCCCTGGTGGGCAGGCTCCGCTCACTGAGACAGCCCAGGCGTGGGGCTCAGCCATGGCAGCTTGTGACCTGCTTGGCCTCTACCGTTTTTCTTCCCTCTGGGCTTAGGGTCCCTGTTCCAGTTTCCCGCAGAGGCCTGGGCCTGGAGGGGCAGCTCACACATGGAGACCCCAACAGGTCACACAGGGCGGGCCCCCTTGCAGCCGTGTGCTGAGCAGGCAGACCATTCCCTCTGAAGGGAGGACCACTTGCGTGAAGCATCCATCCACACCAGGCTCCACTGAAGATGCTTTACAAGTTTGTACTTCCCAGCCCCCAGCCCACACGGCAGGAATTATGAGTCTCAATGTACAAACGACGAACTGGAGTGAGAAGGACAGAGCTGGGTATGCCCAGACCATGGCCGCAGCCCACCCTGAGCGCTCGGGGCAGGTCGGGGAGCCATGGCGGGGAGCAGCAGCGAGATGGGCACGGGGTCCCTGGGTGGCCATGGGCCCAGAGGCTGGGGCGCGGGCCTCAGTGCTCTCACCTCATGTTGAGCTCCTCCAGCACATTGTTGTTCTTGAGAGCTCCCCCCAGCGCAGAGGCTCCAGCATCTCCGCAGCCATTGTATGAGATGTCCAGGACCCTCAGGAAGATGTTTGCCTGGGACACAAAGGAGCGAAGCTGTGGGACCACAGGTGATGGTGGAGGGAGTCAGGGCCACGGCCTCTGAGCCCAGGATGCTGGACGGGCCTGGGGAACACAGGGCTTGTGGAAATGCATGAGGAGCAAAGAGCGTGGGCTGAGAGCAGGAGAGGACAGAGGTTCCAGGGAAGAGCCCTGGGGCTTGGACGAGGGTAAGCGGTGGAGCTGAAAGGCCGGAAGCACAGCACAGAGGGAGGATGAGGATGTGAATGAGCCTTGGACTGGGTTCTCGGCCACGGGCCTCTTAAGGTCACAGACCTCGAGGCTGTTTGATTAACCTGTCTGGGGGACTGTGATGGGGAGAAGAGCAGAGCTTGTAGGTGCCCTGGGGAGACAGAGCCTGACCTGCCACCTCAGGGGCAAGACCCCAGGTCAGCCCTGTGGGAGAGCAAGGCAGCAGCTGCCATTCCCTGAGGAGGGTCCCACAGAGGCAGCTGTCACCGGAAGCATCTCAGACACCCCTCCCATCCACTCCTGAGGCCCACGAACCACAAGACCCAGGTGAGCAGGTGGGGGTTCGAGGGTGTGTGCTGGGATCCCGGGGTGCAGGGCTGTCATCTCAGGGAAGCAGCTGTGTATGCCCAGTAGCAAGTGTGCATCACCAGCCTGCGTGGTGTACCTCCAGTCGAGTGTCTGGGGAGCTGTGTGACATTAAGTGTGGACCCCTCACTGAGGATGTGAGGACAGGTACAGGATACCAGACGTTGTCATCATTAAATGGACCCAGGAAAATGAAAATCACCCAAGCTCTGTGGAAAAGATCCAAGGCTCATTTCTGAAAAGCTGCAAAGATGGGGGGCTGGCTCCTGGGAGACCTGCCCCCAAAGGACAGGGGGAGGGGCTGACTGGGCAGGGGCCTCATACCTCCAGTCCCCTGGCGAAGGCTAAGGCTCCTGGACCTCTCAGGTGATTCCAGCTTACGTTAAGCTCAGTGAGTCCTGTGTTTTCTGCCAGGGCTGGTCCAAGCATCTCTCCTTAAGAAACACCAAGATTCAAAAAATGACGCCAATGTTTGCTGTGGGCCAGGGTCTCTGCTGTGCACGAGGGTCAGGGAGTTGAGCCCAACGTGGGCCTGCCCTGCTCACAAGGAAGTCACATTTAATGGAGAAGCAATAAATACAAATTAATGGGATGTGAGCTATTGTAGGCTGCAAACAGGGAGACGTGGGAACAGAGTTGGGGCTAACCCTGCCAGTAGAGGGGGTGGTCAGGAAAGTGTAGAGAACCTTGAAGACTGAGGGACTCACCATGCCCGTGTGCGAGCACCGTGGAGAGTGGGCCCAGGAAAGAGCGGATGGGGAACACAAGGCTTGAGAAAGTGCACAAGACCTGGTGCTGGCGCGGGTGGGGAAGGCTGGTGAAAAGAGGTAGGGTTGATGGGCACTCGAGAGATTCTTTAAGAGACAGAGTGGGTGGAGGGTGTAGCTCAGTGGAAGAGTTCATGCTTAGCATGCACAAGGTCCTGGCTTCAATCCCCAGTACCTCCATTTAAAACAAAACAAGAGAGAAGATTCAGATAGACAGGGCAGAGACAAGAGGCCAGGGGACTAGCTGGAAGGTTTATGCCACAGTCTAGGCAAGAGGTGATAAGGCCAGTGCAGAGGAAGTGGTGGTGAACAGGAAAGAGTGGGCTGTGTGGGTTAGAAACCCTGAGAGATGTTTTACCTTTAAGATAGGCAGAAGCCCCGCTCTCCACTCTCAACATTCAGGCCTGCTCCCGGTTCTCAGCCTCCAGCTGCCCCCCACCCCCACCCCGTGTGGGACAATTGACCCCCTTCACGTGGCTGAGAGCTCCTCACCCCCATCCAGGAAGCTTTGCTTGCCTGGCTGGGCTGGGTGGGACCTCCTTGGACCCCATGTCCACCGTTGCTTCCATCCTTCCAGGTTCTGGACATGAGACCTCCCTAGCTGGGAGTCTCTCTCGGGGATCTGAATCTGACCCCTCTCCGTGGTACCGGCACCGAGCACAGGCCTACCGAGGCTGGTCTGAAGACACGCACAGTGCACGGCAGTGTCAGCACCTTGGAGAGCTCCCCGCGGGGCAGTGAGGACTTGCTGGGACGCGGCTCCAGGCACTGGGTCTAACACCCGCCGGTTCTCAGACACTTTCAGAGCCCAGAGAAGAGGGTGGCAGTCCTCCACTTTGAAGGGAAGCCTCTCTGCTGAACAGCTCAGGGGTGAGAAGGTTCTACCCATGAATCCGGCTCTTGTAGCTTGTTCTTCGTAACTCTTGCGGCCAAACCATGAGGTAGGTGCTACCCTCACCTTGGGTCAGGTGGGGAGACTGAGACCCAAGCTCTTTCACCTCTAAGGGAGTCGGGCCCACCCACAGAGCACCCCTTGGGGAAACAAAATGGTCCTGCTGAGTCTGTCCTTTTCCAGGCCAAACCCCAAACCTACTGTGCAGCCTTCCAGCCCCCTGCATTCTCGCTGCCCCTGGAGCTGGCCCCCTGACCTAGTAATTAGTTGAAAGTCTGAAGTGAGCTTTCTTTTACTTTCATTGACTTCCCATAACGATTTTCTTACAAGGCAGACTGGTTCTCTGGCAGTTAAACTCCAGAGCTAATTCTCACAAGCTAAGGCTGGTGCCACCCCACTGCCCTAAGCAGAGAGAGCAGTGATTCCCAGACTTTCTGGATCAGACAAGTCTCCTGGGGCATCTGTGAAAATCCAGATACACAGGCACCCCCCAAGAGGATTCAGAGGTTCAGTAGGTCCAGGGCCGTGGAATTTGTATTCCTAACCCAGGATCCCAGGTGATTCTTATAATTGATTAGGGTAGTTGAGGACAGGCAGATAGAACTGCATGTTCCTGGTAAAGCAGACATCCCATGCAAAGGCCCTGGGGGCATAAGAGAAAGTGGTGAGATCAAGGAATCCCATTGATGTCCTCTACAGCACTTGGAATAAAATCTTCATGCCTTTTGCCATGATTTGTAGTCCTAAGGCCCCATTGCCTCTCCACCCCACAGCCTGGCCCATCTCTCAGTAGCACAGTCACACTGTCTGGGAAATCATTCCTCTGTTTGAAATGCTTTCCCTCTGGTCTTTTCATGGCTGATTCCTTCCCCTCTGCACATTCAGTTTAAATGTCACCTCCTCCCAGAGTCCTCCCCTGTCACCTCTGAAGCTGAGGGTTCCCATTCTTCTCTAGAATCATGCCCTATTTGTTTCTAGTGTAGCACCAATGATGATGGAGAGTTAGCTTGTTAATGTGTGTTCCTTGAGGTCAGGGAATTTGCTTTGTTCATGGCTGGATCCCTAGGGAGCAGAAGCCAGAGCACCAATGCTCTGAGTGGTCCTGCCAACCTCCACTCACGTAAGTGCCACCATCCTGGCCCTGGTCAGTGGCCAGATGTTACCTGCTTGGTCATTCAGCTGGTTGTAGCTCAGGTCCAGGGATTTCAGGCCTGTGTGGGCCACCAGGAGTTCAGCAAGGTACTGGGCCGCCTGCTCCTCCAGGTCGTTCCCTGCCAGCTGTACCTTCTGCATGGCTGGGTTCACCACCAGGGCGGAGCAGACAGCCTGGGCTCCCACCGCTCCCAGCTGGTTCTCTGACAGGTCCACATCTGGGGGCCGGCACCACTCCTCAGTGAGTGGGATACACAGCCAGGTGCCACCCTCCTCCATCCCCTGAGCCTTCCAGGCCCACAGCAGCAGAGAGAGCTTTGCCGCAGGACAGCTTTGCTGTCCTCAGCAGCATGGTGACTCTGCCTGCCACCCACTGGCTGGGTCCCCTCAGGCCCCAGGCAGCCTCCCAGACCCCCATGCCCACCCCATGTATCCACGAGCTTTGTCAAAGAGCTAAAACCACCTCGTCCTAGTGTCGTGGAGAATGTCTGTGACATACATACATGCAGCCCCCTGCTGATGAGTCTTGCCTGGCAGCAACATAACCCTCCCAGGGAAGCCCCCGCTGCCCCATTTCCAGAGACAGGCAGTGTCCCGGTGTCTGTGCAGGGAGCTTTTATGTGAGCAGACACTGCTGAGATGTGTCCCCCACATCCCCAAGGGCTAAGTGGCATTGATGACTGGGGTTATTTAACAGATTGGAAGCTGAGGCTCAGCGAGGTTGAGCTCCTTGCCCAGCGTCACCCGCGCTTCCATGGCAGAGGCGGCATTTAGGTCCAGCCCTTCCTCCTCTTTCACTGCCCAGCCCTGCCCCTCTGTGCAGGAGCACTCTCCCACCCTGCATTCAGGCACTGGGAGGCCACCGTCTGCGGGAGTCGGGGGTCCAGCACAGGGGGTGGGTCTAACTCCACCCCTCCCTCCCCACCCAGGGAGGAGGCACCCGGGTGAGAAGGCTCAATGTGGGGCAGCCTGCCCTCCTGTCCCAGGCTCAGCACCTACCGCAGATGCTGCTGCTTTTGCTCAGAGCACCTGCCAGGGCCTCTGCACCGGGCCCACAGAGCCCATTGTCCCGAAGGTCCAGCCGCTTGATGTAGGGGTTGGAGGTCAGTGCAGAAGCCAGAGCCCGGGCCCCCTGGGACAGAGAGGGGCCTGAGGAGCCCAGCTCTTCCCAGGGCTGAAGGCCCCAGACACAGCTGCCACTACCCTGGCTCTGTTTCCAGGGCTCGGCCCACTCAGGGCCCTCCAGATGGAAGGCCCTTCCCTTCCCACATGCCCAGTGACACCAGCTTTTTCTAGGCTTCACCCATATCTCACCTCCTGGAACCCTCCCTGACTCCCCAGAAGGTTAGAGTTTCCCTGCAGGCTCTCCAGCCCTTATACTGAACTGTCATGGCCCTGATACCACCTGTCACCCAGATATGGGGGCTGGGACATGCCTGGCACAGAGCAAACCCGGGGAGTGTGTGGGATGGGCTCAAGAAGGGACCATGCCCATGACTGCTGCCTCCTGAGTCCCTGTCCTCCAAGCCTGGCCCCAAGGTCCCTCTAGGGGTACCTGGGGCCCCAGGCCACGGTGCTGCAGGTTGAGCTCTGGGGCGCTCCCTTGGCGCAGAAAGCAGGAGGCAGGCACGACGCCGTGGGCCCGGCAAGACCTCAGATAGAGGGTGTCCTTGACCCGTTCTTGAAGCCCATGGGTGCCTGAAAGGAGAGAGGGGACCACTGTAGACTCCTCCCCAGCACAGCCACCTCCCCTGCCTCTGTCACTGCCCAGCCCGTGCTAGTAGGGACTGTTGCCCCCAAATACAGATGAGGACATCGAGCCTCAGAGAAGGCAGATCTTTCCCCCAATGTCACACAGCTTATAGTCACTAATCCTGGCTCTACCCTTCCTGTCCAACCCCAAAATGCGAACTGTCTTCTGTTGGACTGTAGAACACACATGGTTTGTGAACATTTTATGGGGGAGGAGACTGAAGTAATTCTAAGTTCTGTGCATTGCTTAGCTTAGTTTTTCCTGACGGTTGGGAAAACCCAGCCCTGATTCATTCCATTTTAGTGTGGGACAGCCCATCTTACACTGGCAAGATTTTTGCATCGTAACATTCTGGAATCCTGTTGTAATGGTGGAACTCTTGATGCCGCCAGGAGCATTGAGGGGAGGGCACGGGGCTGGAACGGCCACCGGCTGCCCCGAGGGTATCCAAAAGAGGGATGCGCTCCTGCTGGACCGGGTCTCCTGCCCACTCAGCCCCAGCCAGCCCCCCCGCCCGGAAGCACCTTCCGTCTCCAGGTCGGAGTCCAAATCCGAGTCCGAACCCTTCTGGGCCTCTGGCACCTCTTCAGGACGCCCAGTGTTTGCCACCGCCCCTTCCTCCTGCTCCTCCTCTCCAGGCCCCTCGCAGGGAGTCCTCATGGTTACTCCCACTTAGCAGTCGCGCACACCAAAGCGGGACTGCGCGGCGCTGCATGGAGAGCGTGGCGCCGGGAATGTGGGCGGACCCTCCGGCCCGTTGACCAATCGGAGGTGGCGTGCGGCGAACAGGCGCCCGCTGCGGCCAGTAGGACGCCTCCCACAGCAGTCGCCCTAGCAACTCCGAGTTGTTGGTTGCTGCGGATACCGCCGCCGGCCTGGGCTGACCTAGACCCGTGAGCAGCCAGGACCGACTGACTTGTCTCCTCGCCACCCCAGGAGGCTCCAGCATCGCCCCCTTTCCACTCCAGAGCCTGCAGGTGGAGCAGCTCGTCGAGGGCATAGCACAGAAGGCCTGGGGGCCATGCAGGGCCCCGCCCCCTCCTCTCGCGAGCTAGAGTCACGCTCTTACTCTGTGGGTCCCAGTTTTCTCTCATGCTCTAGCATCGCAAATGTTGCTCCCTCCATCAAGAACATTCCTCCCCAACTCTGCTCGTTGAACTTCAGGATCTGCAAAGTCAGCTCAGAGGTCACTTCTTCCTGAAGCTTTCCTTATCCTCTCCTGCTGGCCCCGTGCTGCCCACACAGTACCTATCCCACCTGTCATCACCCCAAGGAGTGAGGCCAGAGGGCAAGGGACAGAGACTGCTCCTCTCTGCGTGCCCAGGACCGGGTGGAGGGAGGCTGCAGTGGGTGGGAGGCCCAGAGCAGTTGGGGGTTGGGCCTGATCCCAGGGCTGGGAAGAGGAGGCCTGCCCTAGGTGGAAGTGTCCCTTTAATAGTGGCTGGCTTGACCTGGCTTGGCGCCTGCTTTACTGCCTGTTCAGCTGTGGCTGCAGCTGCTGTGCTGACTCATGCACCCCAGGCGCCAGCAGGAGCTGGGAGCATGGGCTTCGCTGGGACCGCAGTGGGCTGGGGGCTTCTGGATTATAAAACGGAGAAGTATGTGATGACCCGGAACTGGCGGGTGGGCGCCCTGCAGAGGCTGCTGCAGCTGGGGGTCGTGGTCTACGTGGTGGGGTAAGAGAACAGCTCCCAGCATGCTGGCCAGAGGGAGCATGCCGGTCCTGCTGGGCTGGGGTGAGGGTTTGATTCTTCAGGGGCTGGGCTGGTGGTAGTGGAGACTTGTTCCCAGCCCCTTGGTGGGCTTGGCACAGAGCAGGAGGCCCCAGATCGGGCAGGAGGTAGTCCCTGACTCTCATGAGAGCTGGAGCACCAAGGCCCGGGTAGAGACCACCAGTTCTAGCTTTAAGGAGGGAGCAGGATCTAGACAGGGAAGGAGGAGGAGGTTGGCTGGTGGAGGAGGTTGGCTGGTGAAAGAGGTGGTGGTGGACATCTCCAAGTCCATGGGCGCCTGACGGGAGACCCCCATGAGGTCTCCCTCCCCACTGGCTCTCCGAGGCATGGAGAGGAGGTGGAGCCCCTGATCACCAGGCTGGGAGCCTATAGGGTGTGGGGAGAGAGTCTGAGCAGGTGGGGACCAGATCTGCTATGTGCTGGGGACACACAGCACTGCCCATCACCTCCTTCCCAGGTGGGCCCTCCTCACGAAAAAAGGCTACCAGGAGCAGGACCTGGACCCCCAGACTTCTGTCATCACCAAGCTCAAAGGGGTTTCCGTGACCCAGATCAGGGAGCTGGGGAATCGGCTGTGGGACGTGGCTGATTTCGTGAAGCCACCACAGGTAAGTGCCTCGGTGAGGCTGCCACGTGCTGACACCTCTAATAGCACCCTTGCAGTGTGGGAGAGAGGTGTGTGAGGCCGGGGGAGGCGTGGTGCTGTCACAGGGCCAGGCTCGGGAAGGGCCTTACAGAGGAGTGGGGTCTGGACCAGGCTTTCAGGCATGTAAAAGGTTTCCAGGTGGATGAGAGGATGGGTCGGGAAGCCAGGCTAGAGGGATGTATTTACTAAGTCTGCTCTGGACATGAGAGAATCATCTCAAGGCTTGAGCTTGAGTAGGGGGTGGGAGGGGCATGGGGGCCGGCACCTAGAGCTTTTGGAGCTGGAACACTTCTGTCAGATGCTCCTTCTCTGGCCCTCCCACGCTGTATTTCCAACCCCTTCTCCCTCCACCCACACTGTCCGCAGCCTCAGTTTCCGCCTCTGTCATGCTGATGCCCAAATTGTAACCCTGGTGACCACTTGCCCTGAGCACAGCCACCTCCTGAGTGCACCCTATCACGTCCAGAGAGAAATCATGTCCCTCTCTCTACGTGGCCTCTTGTTATCCGATGGCATCCACCAGCGCTGAAGCCAGACCCAGCCTGACGCCCTCCTGTCCCTCCCTCCTGATCATTCCATTTCCTGACAATTTGCTCTTCTGCCCTCACTGTACCTGGATGAGGCTGTGGTCTTCTGGAGAGTCCCCAGGTGCCCTCCACAGGGCAGCCAGGCTGAGCCTGCCAGCCCCTGCCTTTGACACTTGGAAGGCTCCCTTTCCACGATGGGGACCACCTAGCCCCTTGAGATCCTTGCCACTGCCACCCCCACTGCCTTTGGCCCAGCCCTTGCCTCCTCTTCCTGGGTGTGCTTCCCTCAAGCTCACTGAGCTCTCATGCACACCACACAGACGCTCGCCATCCTTTGTCCAGACCATGCTCACCTCTGGCTCCCCTGGCCATGCGTACAGTGAGGGGTCCACCTCCCTACTAGCCTGGGTAGGTGCCCAGTCCAACTCGGCTCTGAACTTCAGTGGTGGAGTGAGTAAGAGTGAACGTGAGAAATAAGCTTTTCTCAAAGAGGCAGGCATGGGCTCAGAAATGGCCAGAAGCCCAGCCAGGCTCCTGTTTGTGCCTCCAATCCTCCTGGGGCACAGGGTTGATGACTCGAGGGGACCCTTCCCTCACAAGCCAACCTTCCAGCTTCAGGCCTCTCCCAGTTTGAGAGTGGAGCAGGGACCAACCCTGACACTTGCCTTCCAGGGAGAGAACGTGTTCTTCTTGGTGACTAATTTCCTTGTGACGCCGGAACAGGTTCAGGGCAGATGCCCAGAGGTAAGGCTGCCTGAGGGCTTCCCAGTGGGTCCCTAGTTCCTCTGCCAGCCCTGGGTCACTAGCCATATCCCCTCTTCTCCTTCCCAGGTGACTGAGGGCTTGTCAGTAAGTGCGACTTTATCCCAGGCTCTGGGAGAAAACCTTTCCGCGAATCATCTCACATAGTCATCCCAAGTACCCTGCCCAATAGGATCTACTTAAATGACCCCATTTAAGATGAGAAGACAGAGGCTCAGCAAGGGAGACTCACATGCCCAAAGCCGCCCAGCCTGTGAGTGACAGGACTCCGGATCTCTGAGCAGCCTTCTTCCAGAGTCTTCCACCACTGTCCCCAACAACATGTCTAGGTCCCTCCCCATCTAGGACCCCTCTGGGGTCTCTGCAGATTGTCAAAGTATCACCCAGAACTGGGCACAATGCTCAGGTCGGTTCTAGTAGCAGGAGGCAGGCTGGAAGATCACCTCCCTTCTCTACGCCCGGCCTCCATTCAGGCGTCCCGAGGCAGCTTCCGTTTTTGTGGGCAAAGAGCGCATCCGTGCTTGTGCTGAGTTCAGGGTCACTTACGATGTCTGGGTATTTTTCATGACAGCTGTGGTCAAGCCAGCATCCCCCACTATATCCTTGTCCATTTCTCATCCAGAAATGCAGATCCTCTCCCTGAAATCTCACCTTTCCCCCTTGTCTAGGAAAGTCCCAGGGATTCAGCATGGGTCACATTTTGATTGTGATAAAAAAACAAGTAACATAAAATTTCCCATCTTAACCATTAAGTGTATAGTTCCCTGGCTGTGAATTTTGTTTGAACATTTGGGACCCAGGACATAGTTTTGGAAGCCTTCCTCTCTGGTGGCATCTTTCTTTCATCAAGGCTAAAACATAATCACTTGCTGGGCTGGAGAGTAACAGTGTGGTCACCTACCCCTGATTCCTGGTCGCTGGTCCCACCAGTTACTGGGGGTTTCATGTCCCTCGTCTCCCCATCCTCAAAGGATCTGAGGCACGTGCACTCAGCAAACACACACAATGTCCTTCCCTTTCTAAATGCTCAGAAGACATCTACTTATTGTTCAGTTTCTGGACTGTCCCGCAATTTTGCTGGAGCCATGGTTCTGTACTTTTCTGGAATCTGTGTGGTTCCTCTTTTCCTGGTGTCCCAGCTTCTGGCTCTCCCCTCAAAACTTCAGGGCGGGGAAGTAATTCATCAGATCTGAAAACCCTTCTTCCCAAGACCAGCTCCTCTGGAGTCCTGGTCGTCTCCACCCTCTCGGCACGTGCACTGTGCTCCGTGTAGCATCACAGACTTCAGAGAACACTCGCCAAGCCTCCCCCAGGGCTGCAAAGCCACCCTCCACGCCGACAAGCTCCTGCACAGTCAGCCCGGCCACGGTGGCAGGTTCTGTGTTGGGGGCAGAGGCCACAGCTGGGAGCCCCAGGAATGGGCATCTGAAGGGTTTCCTGCTGGACTCCAGGCTCACTTGGGATCTTGAGGACATCCGGGCAGAGGCGGCTGTCTGGGCAGAGGCTCCGAGCTTATGGGATGAGGCACCTCCAGGGTCATCATTTGCGCCTCAGGAGGGACCATTCAGGCTGCTGGATGGAGGTGGATGAGGCAGAGGTGGGGCCCCATGGTGGTCACTGTGGGGTCTGGTTGAAGGAGATGGTGGCCCAGCCAGGGCAGAGAGGAGGGGCAGACTCAGGACACGGGTAGGGACAGCAAGGGAGAGCAGGTGACCCCACAGTGTCCTCTGCCCACTCACCACTTTTGGCTCAGAGTCCCTGAGCCCTTCTTAGCGCCGGACGCTGTGGTCTCCCTGCTGCCCCTGAGCCAGGGCAGCGGCGTCCATGTCAGCCCGGGACAGGACTATGGAACTGCGTCTGGGAGCCTGTACCTACCTCCTGGGGCATGGGACCCTTGGGAAGCTTAGCACCTTCCCCTTCTGGCTGATCCCAGAACAACGTGGCTGTGTGCAGGCACCAAGGTCCCTGTTTTACTAAAGAACAGGCAGGGAGGGGACGATGCTCGGCTTTGGAATATAGCACCTGCTCCCCCGTCCAGCCAGGGCTGCTCCCCTGCCCTATTTTATTTGTACCCTTCAACTTTCTCATGTGCCTCAAACTCAGCGATCCCTGGGGGGCCAAGGCGAGGAGGGTCGAGTCCCTGTGGACCACAGGGCCCTTGGCAACTCTGCTCTTTCATCGCAGCACCCCTCCATCCCGCTGGCCAGCTGCTGGGCCGACGAGGACTGTCCTGAAGGGGAGGCAGGGACGCACAGCCACGGTAACTGGGGCCCTGGGTGGCTCCCCATGTGGGCCTGTTGGTGCCTCTGTGCCTCTCCTTTTTGTCAACAGTCCCTCCACCCCTCCCCACGGCCCGGGCGGTTGGGGCCGTGGAGTTTGCCTGTGTTTCTAGGCATAAGAACGGGCCGAGTGCGTGGT